GTTTCATACGTCCGGCTGTTGGCTCTGTTTTTTTTTTTTTTTTAAGAGGTTTTTGCCTGAGGGTGGGCACACTCCCCAGAGAAAGCGAGAGAGACAGCCAGTGAGAGGCAAAGTGAGAAACCACCCCACCCCAGGACCACACCGCGGTCCTGTCTCCACTCTCCTCCCGGGATCCTGGGCAGGCACACACACCCGCTGTGGTTTTCAAGCCACTGGGTCCAGGACTTGATTTGCGGTCGGCCATGTCGGAGTCCAGGATGGACCACTGTGCCATCTGCTGGCCTGGGGTCTGCCTTTTCATGGTAAATGTCCACCCCGGGGACACAGGACATTGTTGAAGCACCGCATGGGTGCCAGCCGGTGGTCTGCAGCCACGTCCTGCCCTGGCTTACCCGTTCTTCACACTGCCCCGTGGGGCCCAGGGCTCACCACCCACAGACCAGCAGGTCTGGACTGGCGCCGTCCGGTGAGCTGGGCTTCCGGGGCCCATCCCTGTGGGAGGAGCCGCCCTCCTGGGCTGGCACCGTCGGACTGCAGGCCTCGCAGGCAGAGCTTGGCAGGAGCTGTCCGTTCAGGGCTAGAGGATGGGGTATCAGAGGGACAGTGACTTAGAGCCCGTCGCAGGAGCTGGTGGGGGGCCAGGGCGCTGGTTCTGGGGAACAGGCCCACCGCTTTTCTTCCAGCAAAGAAGAGGAGTGTTTGGGCCCGGAGGTAGCATGTGGTTAAGGTTCTGGACCCTCTGGATCCTACATGGCCTGACTGCATGGTTCAAGTCCCAGACCCCACAGCTAGGAAAGCACGCTAGGTACATGTGTGCACGCGTGTGTGCACCCACAGTTCCAGGAGGAAAATGAGAGGAGGAATTGTGGTGTGGCCATCCCCCGGGGGTGAGTCCTCATCTCCCCCTCTCTGTCTCTCTCTCTCTCTGGTGAAGGCATGTGCCCTACAGCAAAATGGGATAAAAAGGTGTTGCAGAGTGGCACCGAGTGAACCCCCAGAGCCAGATTAAGGTTTAAGGGAGCCCATTCTCTGGCAGCGACTACAGCCTGAGGCTCAGGGCCAAGAGTCAGGACTGCAGCTCTGACCAAGTGCGAGTGTCTTTTCACGGGGGGCGGTTACCGGGGTGCAGGAAGTCCGAATGCCAGGAAAGGGAGCGGGTCTCACGCACGCAGCTTCGGAGCGGAACACGCGGGCTAGTTAGCTCTGAGGGCACTCTCTGGACCTGTGTTGGACGGTCTCCATGGCTCTGGCTGCGGTCTAGTGATTGGTCGTTACGTTGCCAGGGAACACGGGCTACTCAGCGGTCGGTAGCAGGTAGCGGAGGGCGGCCGGGTGCGTTTTCCGTGTGGCCAGCACGAGCTGTTTTCTCATGGGAAGAGCAAGCAGGTTTACCGCAGACAGCCACGTGAGGGCAGGGACCAAAATGGACGCACGGTAGCTCGTGTGCGAGGTCTAATGTGCGGCCTTCCACAAAGGAGCGTTTGCCAGGAGTCCGTGTCTCAGTCAGGAGAAATAAAAGCTGGGTTGTGGTTGCCTTTTTTTTTTTAAGAATTTTGTTATTTAACTTCATTTATCCATTTATTTATTTATTTAAATTTGACCAGAGGAGGACAGAATGAGAAAGTGAGAAAAGCAAGCCGCCAGGTCTGGGACTCGAACTGCAGTCGGCCACGTGGGAGTCCAGCACCCTTAGCCACTGCGCTACCTGCTGGCCCTGTGGTTGCCTTTTTGGTGGGTAATCAATCACTCCCTCGTGTGGGAGGTCACACCACAATCTCCATGTTTCCATCCCATCCAGATTTTGGTCCCTCCCTACTGACCCCGCGCCCCCACGTGCTGGGTGCTTTTTGGTTTTTTGTCTGTTAGGAGAGATTTTTGCTATAGGGCGCTTGTACTTACAAGAGAGACAGAGACAGAAAACAGGTCACCCCCAGGAGGGATGGCCACGCTGCAGTCCCTTCTCCTCTCAGGATTTCAGATATACACCCACACGTGCCCGGAGTTCCAAGCCACCAGATCTGGGACTTGAACCGTGGTCAGCCATGGGGGAGGCCGCGCAATATAATCATTACACCGTCTGCTTGGTCCCAGCCTACTTCCCATGTGACATCCATTCCCTACCACAGCTTAGCCACAGGGCAGGTACTAGCCAGACGGACAGGGCGGGGAACTGAGACGTCACAACCCCTCCATCCTCAGGACTCTGGGTACACGCACACGTGTGCCTGGGAACCGTGGTCAGCCATGTGGGAGTCCAATGCCTTAACCTCCACACACCTGCTGGCCCCTGGATTCTGGTGTCTAACCGGGGTCAGATGGGGCTCACCCGCAGACAGCGTTTAACCCTGAGAACACCCCCGGCCCTGTTAGTGGACGGCCACGCCCAGCGGGCAGGGCCATGCTGACCCCTGGTGGTGGCACGCGGTAATGCTGGGACCCTTGGCAGTACGAGGGACGGGCGGGTCAGGTCCTGGTGCTTTTCCCTAAGCGCGGACTGGATCCGACCCTGTGCGAGAGCAGGCGCAGTCCGCTCAGATCAGGCGGGAAAGAGCCCCCAACGGGCCAGTGGGGCTGTGGCTTGGGGCTCAGGGAAGCTCGCGGAGAGGCTCGGACGCTGCGGTGCGTCCCCACAGTCCCGCTCCTTCCGTGCAGTGTCTTACCAAGTCCTCTTGGAGCCCTTGCTCAGCTAGCGGAATGCCCGCTCACGCCCGCTCGCGCCCTGCCCTGCCTTGTTCCAGGAGGGATTTTAGGAGGCTTAGAAAGACTCATGTGGTGAGTCAGAGGGATATAAATGGAAAATGGGAATGAAAGAAAAACAAGGGCAGGGCCGTCAACTGGAATCAGGGATGAGGTTTCTACAAAAACAAGCTGTGATGTACACTTGCTGTTGGGGGCGGGGGTGTCGATCTCTGAGCTTCCCAGCAGACAAGGTGAAAAGGGAAATGTGGTCAGTTACTCAGCTTGCAGTGCTTATGAGATAAAGAGGACGCTGTGGCCCGGTACATAGACTGACTTCCTGGCCCCTTCCACCCTCGGGCCCCCCTCGCTGCACGCCATGTGATGCTGAGAGGGTCTCTCTGGGCAAGATGCTCTGGCCTGCCAACACTCCTCACCGTGGGCTTCTACAGCAGTGCTGCTGCTGCTCAGGCCGTTGGAGGGTCTCAGGTGGCAGAGAATAGATGAGCCAGACAATCCAGAGTGGAGGAGCTCTGGGCAGGAGCTACCCCGGCCAGGCCAGGGCACTGGTGGGATGCTGGGCCCTGACCCAATGCAGCCTCCACTCTGACACCCCCACCCCACCACCACCCACTACCCACCACCGTGGCCTCTGACCACCCTGACCCCTGTGGACCAAGCTGGGGCTCTGGGTGGCCATCTGCCTCGTGGCGCCAGGCGCCCACAGTGGGCACAGTGGGCACAGTGGCCGGGCGGCTTCTCTGGGGGATAGGGCAGTGGGCGTGAGCTCCAGCTGAGCTGCTTGGCCCTGGGACATCTGGCAGGAGAGGGGAGGCAGGACAGGGACAGGGTGGGGACACGCTCCGCTCACCATGTCCCCTGCTTTGCAGCCTGGGACTACAGCCAGGGCTTCGTGAACGAGGAGATGATCCGGGACCACCTGCCGCCCCCAGACGAGGAGCCCCTGGTGCTGATGTGCGGCCCCCCGCCCATGATCCAGTACGCCTGTCTGCCCAACCTGGCCCGCGTGGGCCACCCCCAGGAGCGCTGCTTCACCTTCTGAGCCCGCCTGGCCACTTCGGCCTTCTGCCTACCCTGCCTCCACCGCCCGCCACGCCCGCCCACCCTCCTCAACACCCCCCACCTCTCGGGGCCCCTGTTGGGCCTGGTCTGCCCAGGCCGGGGTGGGCACGCCAGGGCCCTTGGGAGCAGGGCTGTTTCCGGAGGACATGGCCGGCCCTCACCTGCTCTCCCCTGAGGTGCTGGCCCTGCCCCTCGTGACCCCTAGCCCCTCCCGTCCACACTACAAGGCCCAGGGCCCAGCACTCGCTCCCCTACCCCGCTGGGCAGAGACCGGTCTGCATAGACGGGCAGCCCTGGGACCCTGGCCTCCGCACCTGTCACCAGTGAGATGGGTGACACCACGGTCCCTAAGGAGGGACCGTGCAGGGCCCCGAACCTCAGTGTCCCCCAGCACACGCCGATAGCCGGGAAGCCTTGGGTATCCCCCCCCCACACCCCGGGCCTCCTTGGGGTGCCGCTAGCCCGGGAGAGCGACGGCCACGCTGCTTGGTTGCTCTGCCCCACACCCACACCCTCCGTGGGCTGGCCCTGTGGGGGCTGGCGCAGTGCCTCTGAGGGACCACGCGGGGGCCTCGTGTTGCCCGCAGACCACCGGGTGGGCCCCTGCACGCTGGCTTTCCAGGGTCACCTGTCAGCAGGTGACAGTGGAAGTAAACCTTTGCTGGTCCGACGCTGTCCCTGCCTCCTTCTGTGTCGCGGTGGGGCAAGGGCTGCATGGCAGGACGCTTGGAGACGGCAGGGGGTGGGCCCCCCACATCTACAGCTTAGGCGTCGTGGGTCAGAAGTGGTTGAGAAGAGGAAAGTCTAACAGCGAGTGACAGGCATTGGAGACAGCGTGGCAGCCGCTCAGCGTTCCCAGGGTGCCGCGCGTCCTAGGGAGACGGGAGTCTGCCGGGACAAACACCGCACGCCACTTGCTTTTCTGCTAGCTATAGGGTGCGTGTACTTGCTGGGGGTAGGGGGAGCAGTCACCCCTGGGGGGAAGCTGCTGGATGCCAGCTGGGATAGGTTGAGTCTCCCATCCTCATGGAATTTCGAACACACTTGTGACTCCTGGCATGTTTTTCAAGCTGCCGGGTCTGGGACTTGAGCTGTACCACCACCCGTGTGGGATCCGGCCACCTGAACCACCGTGCCACTGGCTGGCCCGGGCCCTGCTTTTTTTTGGCGGGGGAGAGGTTTTCACTATAGGGTGCGTGTGCTCACCAGACAGACAGAGAGAGACAGAAAGCGAGAAATCACCCCCCAGGGGGGATGGCCACGCCGCAGTTCCTTCTCCTCCATTCTCCTCTCAGGATCTTGGGCACGCACGCACACGCGCCCGGCGTGAGTTTTAAGCCACCGGGTCTGGGACGTGAACCGCGGTTGACTACGTGGGAGTCCAGCGACATAGCCATTACGCTAAGTGCTGGTTCCCCGGGCCCTACCTTCTGAGAGACCTGAGTGTCGGGGTACTCTCAAGGGGCTTGAAACACCCGTGCACAGCGGGGACAGCTGCACACAGCAAGGGGCAGGGGTGCTGCCCGCTCTGACGGCCCTGGCCCCTAGGTGTCACCGGCTCACGGTTCTCGTTTAGGGCCCGCGGGGCTCGGTTAACTGGCCTTCCTCAGCCCAGGTGGTCTATTCATAGACTCCCGGGACTGGAAGGCCCGGCCAGGGGGTTGCCCACTGGGAGTTCAGCTTTGAAGCCCTCCCCCTGCCCACCCCGCCGTGTCCCCAGACCTGTCTGTGGCCATCGCCGCCCCTCCCCGCCCCTGCGGTCTCCCACTTCCCATCTCTAGCTGTCTTTTTCCCACAAGCACCTGCACTTGCACCTCGCAGCAAACTGGAAGATAATACCAATCCTGGGACCAGCAGATGGGGTAATGGTGCTGTCACTGGACTCCCACGTAATAGACCATGGTTCGAGTCCTGGACCCGGTGGCTGGAGGCACATGCCCAAAATCCTAGGAGGAGAATGGAGGAGAAGGGATTGCGGCGTGCCACCTCTCAGGGGCCGATTTCTTACTTTCTGTCTCCCTGTTTCTCTGGCAAGCAATACACTCTATAGCAAAAATCTCTAAGACAAAAACGAAGCAAAAGCCCAAAGCAGGGAGCCAGAAAGCCCTTGGAGCCAGTGGCATCTGTGCAGAGCCCTGAAGTGAAAGCCGGTGCTGCTGGCAGGTGCTCCGACCGAAGTGTCAAGGCCTGGGGCTGGGGAAGCTCCCGGACGGCTCAGGGGCAGGGCAGCGGCTGCAGAGGGAGCCGAGCTGGACGGCGTTCTAGGTGTGGCCAGCAGGTGCCAAGGCCCTGGGGTGGAGACTTGCTGGAGGCCCAAGGAGCACGCAGAGTGGGAAGGAGAGGGTGGGACTTCACGGAGCCTTGGGGCGGGGGAGCCTCACCTTCCCGTCAGTCTCTGGCTCTCACTGCCGCCTGGGCAGAGCAGGTGCTCCTCGGTGGGCGAGGAGTGTTCAGCCTGGGTTGCTGCGGTCTGCCGAGCTCACATGCCGAGTCTCACCCAGGCTCCTGGCCCATCTCGGGGTGAGGAAACAGTGGATGGCCAGGACTTGGACCCAGATCTGCTCGAGCCCGGAGGAGGCTGTCCCTTGGGACTGGTCCCCATCCCTGAAATGGGTGCGCGTTCTGGACAGCCTCAGACCCCACACTCTATGAAACACCCACGTGGCGGGTCACTGTCCCGAGTGCCCCCGACTTACATGCAGAATTTCACAAAAGCTCCACAAAGTCAACACAGAGCTCCAGTTGCATTACAGAGGGGCAAGAGACAAGGAATTCTTTTTTAATGCACATGGGGCCCGCAGGTGGTATGGTGCTTTAAGGCACTGCACTCCCACAGGGTCGAACGCGGTTTGAGTCCTAGACCTGGTAGCTTGATCACATTGGGGTGTGTGTGCGCACATGTGCCCACGTGCCCAAGATCTGGAGGAAAATGGAGGAGAAGGAATTGTGGGGTGGGTGACCATACCCCCAGGGGTGATTTCTCACTTACCCTCCCTCTCTCTCTCTGGAAAGCACACAGGTCTGATGGTGAAAACCTAATAAATAAAAATTTCAAAAATATTTGTTTATTTCATTCATTCATTTAATTCCACTCATTATTTTTTAATTTGACCAGAGAGAGAGAAAGAGAAGGAGGGGAAGGGAATCTAAGAAAGCAAGCTGCCAGGTCCAGGATTCAAACCATGGTCCTCCATGTGGGAGCTCAGTGCCTCATCCACCACACCACCTGCCTGCCCCCAATAAATAAGTTTTTCAAAAAAAAGCATGTAAATGCTGAGCCCAGTCTCCCAGAACACGTGGGCAGGTCTGGGTGTGGCCATCCCCTGGGCAGTGAATTTTCATCTCTCCCGTGTCTGACAAGCGTACGGCACTACACCGAAAACTTTTTAAAAAATCATTTAAGGGGACAGCAGTTGGCATAATGGCTGTGTCACTGGACTCTTATGTAGTGGGCCGCGGTTCGAGTCCCAGACCTGGTGGCGTAAACTCACGCCGGGCGCGCGAGTGCCCAAGATCCCAAGAGAATGGAGAAGGGGATGCGGTGTGGCCACCACCACCCCCACCCCACCCCCCAGGGGTGATTTCTCACTTTCCGTCTCTCTGTCTGTCTCTGTCTTTCTGGGGAGTGCACGCGCCCGATAGCAAAAACCTCTCCAAAAAAGATCATTTAAGTGACTTTAATAAGTTTTTTTTTGGAGAGATTTTTGTTATCGGGCGCGTGCGCTCGCCAGAGAGAGAGAGTCATAGAGACAGAAAGCGAGAAATCACCCCCCAGAGGGGATGGTCACGCCGCAATCCCTTCTCTTCCATTCTCCTCTCGGGATCTTGGGCACGCACGCACACACGCCGGGCACAGTTTTAAGCCACCGGGTCCGGGACTTGAACCGCGGTCGACTACGTGGGAGTCCAGCGACATAGCCATTACGCTAACTGCTGGTTCCCGTGACTTCAATATATTTTTAAGACAGTTTTGTTATAGGGCGCGTGCACTCACCAGGGTGCCTCCCACTGACCCACTCGTTACTTAGTCCCGCTAAACAAAGTTGTGGCGGCCTCCACTGGTCAAGGAGACAGCGGCAGCGGGGAACCACAGGTCAAGAAGACAGAGAGCGCGGGGAAGCCACCCAAGAGCACACACCTCTCCATGGGGGGGGGCCCTCCTGGGTGCAGCTGGGCCCGCTAACTGGAGAAAAAGTTCCAGAGAAGTAACTACAGCTGCGCCCCCGTGCGGTCCTGACCCGATTTGACACAGCCCGACACAAATCCTGGGTGGGTAGTACATAAGCCCACAACCCGCTACGAACTACAGCAAGAAACACAACCCAGTTCCATCGAAACCCACGTCTGCTCTTAATCTGCATTAAAGGGTCGGGCAGATCGCACCTCCCAGGCATCCCGCAAAGTAGGCAGGTCACCTTAGGGGACGACCTTTACCCGCTCAAAAATTCGTCTCACATTAGCAGTGAGGATCCGGGCGTCACCCCGAATCGTTATTTTCCTTACTCATAAGTTTAAGGCATAAACACAAGACCCACTCACTTCCAGGGTAATGGATCTTATACTCATTACCAATACGGTGAGTAACATAGTAGACCATTGAGTTGACACTCCTGTCTTTTTGACATTTCTTTTACTCTTCAATTCATTTACTATGTCACTTTTCGTTTTATTTGGAGAATAAAGGACCTGTAGTGCTTCGACCCGCCGTATGCAGATAAGGAGACAGCATCGCGAAGGCTCACGGGAGTGATCCCGCCCCTTCCGGTCCTCGCCTGCTATGAGCTGTCGCGAGAATTGGGAAGCCAAACGCCGGAAGCAGTTCGTCGCTCCGTAGCGGCCGAAGGGGCGTGCTCGCGAGCTGAGGGAGTCTGAGCAGTTTTCTCCTCGCTCGGCGGCACAAGATGGCGGACATCTCCCTGGACGAACTCATCCGGAAGCGCGGGGCGGCGGCGAAGGGGCGGTGAGCGGCCTTTTTCTCTTCGGGTTTCAGAGTCCGCGGCCTAGCGGGGGTCGGGGCGGAGGAGGGAGCGGCCCCGGTGCCCCGCGGGGGCCCGCGAGCTGAGGGAGTCTGAGCAGTTTTCTCCTCGCTCGGCGGCACAAGATGGCGGACATCTCCCTGGACGAACTCATCCGGAAGCGCGGGGCGGCGGCGAAGGGGCGGTGAGCGGCCTTTTTCTCTTCGGGTTTCAGAGTCCGCGGCCTAGCGGGGGTCGGGGCGGAGGAGGGAGCGGCCCCGGTGCCCCGCGGGGGCCGTGAGCGCCCGCGGTCCGGGGGTCTCGGAGCACCGCTGCGCGCTGCGCGTCCTCCATGTTCTCTGCGCTGCCTCGTCTCAGCCCGCCTTCGAGTTAGGACGGCCGAAGTTTCGCCGGGAAGTGACTTGCTCGGACACCCGCGGCCGAGCCCCGCGCTTTCGATTCCGACCCCGCTCCCCACTCCCTGCTGCCCGTGTGCACCCCACGCCCCAGGCGGCCTAAGTTTCCTCAGCGCCTCTGGTCGCCGCCGCCTTTGCTCCGCTCACAGCCCGCTCGGCACCCCTTCCACAGAGGAGCCCGGGCCGGGGTGCGGTGGAGTGCGCGGCGATTGCTGGACACAGCGGCCCGAGGTGGCGGCAGACCGGCGGGGACGGCAGCGACGG